ATCAACTCCTCGAGCTCCTTTGCTAGGTTATAGCGCTTGTTTAGTCCAGAAATGTGGTTCTGAAATGAACTACCAATGTCGACTAAGGCTGGAGTGTTCGACTCCTTCAGCTCATCGCGAAGTTGCATATACGCCTCAGATTGTTCCGCCGACAGCTGATCCAACTGCAAAGGGCCCAGTAGCATCTCCTCACTGTACTTTGCAAGCACACCACGCCCAAGCTCAAGTACTTGCAGCGCTTCAAAGACCGGCCTATCTGCTTGTAAAGCTGCTGCTGCGGCACTGCACATCATACCAGCTCTCGAGCCCGCAGCATGTTGTTTATCTGAAGTCTCATGTGATCTAGTAATCAACTGAGGTAGAAGACCCGTGATGACTTGCGCAGCCTGGTAGGCTTTTTGTTTATCTGGACAGCTCTGTAATAGAGCGGAACCGGCCCTTACACGGCTTATCGCAGGGGCATTGTGGTTTTGCAGCGCCTCGAGAAAACACTCTGAAGCCTTTTCAAGATTTGCGCTTTCCGTTGCACTATCTCTGAGACGGTAGCCCAAACTGGTGAGCATTTCTGCGCGGTACTGATGACCTTCTGGGACTTCGTCGAGCGCTTCCTTTTGTAGTCGAGTACACTCATCGAGTATTGCTTGGTCTTTTGTCATGCCGTACTTTATAACAAGCATAGCTTGTAGGTTGTTCTTGAAGGACCAGGTAGGGCGATTGCCCACTGTAATTGCAATTGCCTTTCTCTCCAGCTGTATCGACTCTTCCAAATCCTTCCAGAGACGAGGGTCTGTTCGAGATATTGACGATCTGAGATTTAGTTGCATCGCCAGTCTGTCGAGGTATATCGCTTTGTAGGGGTGGTTATCATACTTTGCATCTGCAGCCTCTCTAGATAGCTCAATCGCTCTGTCGAGGTCTTGTATCCAATCCTTTCTCAAATATCTGTTGCTGAAGAGATCCGCGAGGGTAGAAAGAATTTGGGGCCGTTTTGAGTGATGGCTCGGAAGCATCTCAAGAGCCATCTCAGTCATACGAATAGCTTCCTCAAGATCTGCCAATAAGCCCATCTTGTCGTACTTTCGATTCAAGCCATCTGCGACCGAGTCGAGATACAGCGCCTTCGTAGGCCCATTCGGCGCCAGGTCCGCTGCTCTACTTGCGACGTTGATTGCATCCTGCAAGTCGTTCAAGTCCCACGACCTGTCGAACTTTTCCAATAGATGAGTTGCGAGATTATTTAGCCACTTTGCCTGATCTGGGTGGCCTTCTGGCGTCAGTGTGATGGCCTCTTTTGCCAATTCGACCGCTTCGTCGTAGTCGATTGAGTTGCCAATGGCCTCGGCCTTGAGATCTAGTTTCGCTGACAAATTGTTCAAAAAGAGAGCTCGTATTGTTGTATCTGATACTGAAGCAGCTGCGCGTCTGCTTAAGCTGATTGCTTCTTCTAGATCTTCCAAAGAACCTGTAACCAAGTGCCTGTTGCTGAGGTGATTTCCAAGATTATTCAACCACTTGGGCAGCTCCGGGTCATCGCTCGCCGTTACAGAAACGGCCTGATTTGCCAGGGCAATACCATCTTCCAAATCCTTTAGATCCCCGGTGACAGAGAACCTGGTCTTTAACGATGCGGCCAGATTACTCAGATATCTGGCGTTGCCAGAAGCCGTCAATTCGACTGCCTTTTGGGACATCTTAATGGCATCGCCAAGATCCGAATTGTCTTCTGTCACCATGAATCTATCTTGAAGCCGGTAACTGAGGTTGTTGGAACACTCTGCCAATTCGGCGTCGTCACCTGTTATCGCATCGATAGCTTGCTTCGTCAAAAGAATAGATGTATCGAGATCCACAAAGATGCCAGTGCTAACATATCTATCGTTGAGAAGGTTGCTAAGCTCTGTTAAACATTTGACATTTGTTGGATTGGCGCGGATTGCTATCTTCGCATTTTCGATGGCCTCGTCAATATCAGCCATTATGTCAACTAGAATGTCTCAGATCTTTTATGGCTTGTTGGTTAGAGCTTAGTGGACTTGTATAGAGAAATATTTAGCTCAGCTTAAGGATCTTGGGATGAACAAGCACCATCACTCATCTGGCTTTGGGCCTCATCGACAGTCAGTGAGATGAAAGGCGCAACGTCAGCTTTCCGATATCCGAGAGATTGCGCTAGCCAACGATGCTAAAACACTGCAGCACTGACTGAAGCAAAATCTAGAGGGGGCTTTAATCCAGTTAGAGTCTTCCTTGGCGTCTTTATACTGTATAGCTTTTGGTTGATACCTTGTTTCCGTTGTTTTTTTGAGGGCGTATTCCGACTTGACGGCCTTGCACTTTGGAAGCGGGGTAGAAGGTCTAGACTGCGCGCCTCACTTTGCTACGCCCAGTAGATAGATATAAGCAATCCTATATCAGGAAGGATTTGTACTTAGATACAGAAATTATAGTGGAATGTTGGAGGAACATCATAAAACCCTTGACCAGAGAGATCTTAGTGTCCCTAGCATTGCACTACCCAACTACTACTACAGGCAGCAAAATATATCAAACATTACGCGCTCGACATGATTTATCTATTGCGAGTTAGTAAATGCATAATGAGTCTTCTGTCTGGTCTTCGCAGCATATTCATTGATGCAAGTAGGGCCAGCGACGCAAAACACTCGGCAGTCTTGGGTAAAAAGTGCAAAAGGAGACACATTGGTTTGACTATTCCGATCGAATCTCCTCTCTAAGACTGATAAACTTCCACAGCTTCTCAACGATTTCTGTTTCTTTGCTTATTTTATAACAAATATAGTTTTTGTAATGCAATGCTTACCCTCAAGGTTTTCGTCGTGGCAAATGCGAAATATACTTCTACTAACCATCCGTCGTATGTATGTAACGAGGTACTGCTTTACAAGAAATGATAAGGACTACAGCGGCCTGGCTAGGATTCATCAGGGACAGAAAGCCTTGGAGGAAGGGGAATCTCGTTTGAACTGGCTGACACTGCGAAAGATGTTACAGCAACTGTCAAACGTCCTGCAAAGTCGAGCTAGTTGCTTGGTGTGTGAGCTTTCTTTTCTTCCCCTCCCACTTATGAATTTTCTCCAATGAAACTGGCCAACAGTGTCAAGACATAACCTAAAGTGTCAGTATCGCTTCAGAGCAACTGCTCTACCCGCCTCGGCACGTCCTTCAAGCAGCTTCTCTCAACAACATCAAGGCATCTTATTCCTCAAAGTATTCAAGCAAAAGAATCTGCAGCACTCATCGCCTTCACCACCGAATCATTTCTCTCATCTTCGACATGTCGGAACCCTCAGTCCGCCCTCGTAGGTTCTTGGCCATCGCTCATTTCACCGCTAACAAGTTCAGCCGAATACCAGGCTGGTAGGGTCATACAATTGCAGATACTCGAAGGCAGCAGCGGCTCATGGGCCATGTCGGAAAGGGACATCTCTGTAGCCGTTGAGCGAGTTATCACAGAGACTATGGCCCCCGTCATGCAAGTCCGCTTCCACGATCGCCTTGCCATTCTCAAGGTCTACGATCGTCGCTACGGGACAGACCTTCGTGACTACAGGGACGAGCATATTCCGTGCACCGCTCAAGTCGAAACTGCTTACCAGTCATTTCTAAAGACAGGTGCCATGGACGCCTTCCTCAAAGAGATGGATCATAACGAAGCCACGTCGGAATTTCCACGTACCCTAGCGGAGATTCGGGAGGGGTCCAACGGCATCGTGAGATTTGAAGCGGCGCTCTGGAGGATCACTGATCAGCATTTCAGAACCGAGGCTGAGGTCTACGATCGCTTGGAAGACCTCCAAGGTGTTTTGATCCCAGAGCTTTACGGGTTGGTACGCATCGTCGCTCCAGGACGTACTCCAGCATCCTCAAAACAAGATTACCAAACTGTCTATGGTATCCTCCTCCAACACATCCCAGGTGTTAATCTTTATGAGCTTATTGAGGAGGAAGTCCGGCCTACAACGCAGCAAGATTGGACATGCCTCATTCAGCGAGCTATTGACGCGGCGTATGAGATTAACAAGCGCGGTATTATACTAGACGACAGCTCACCTCGCAATGTGGTCGTGGAACCCTCAACATTCCAGCCCTTCCTCGTTGACTTTGCGCAGTGCTTTTTCAAAGATAAATTAATTCAGAAATGGGTCGACTCGGGCGCTGATGCAGAAGAAGGGAAAGATTGGGATGGCGACGCCAAATTCTGCGAGACGGCAAAAATCTTCAATAACTCTGGCGCAATTGGAGTGCCCATGGTGAGAAGACTGGAGAAGTCCTGTGGGTTCACAGTGGAGGTCAGGTATCCCAAAGAAGGTCAGCTCGTCTGCGATATCAAGCGTCAGCCAGAGCCAGAGGCCAAGATGAACAAGTCACTCCAACACGTCGAGGGCAGCCCGGAGCCGGGGATCAGATCTCCCAAGATGGATGAGCCGCTCCACGGCACGACAGCTGCAGCCACGCAGCAGATTTGAAGGTTTGAGACGCGATTGCGACCTGTCAGAAACTGGACTGGGCTTGTGAGCGGGACGCATACGGACAACAGCGGCGAACGTCAAAGACAGACGGGATATAAGACAGACGGGACATAAGATAATCTCCCTCATAATATTCTCCTGTCAATGGCATAACATTCATCACAGTCTCAATCTATTAAATACAACAAGTCCTACTTCTCAAATGGATCTGGATCTGGATCTGGATCGAAGACGTTACAGTGTTTTTAGACGAGAGGTTAGTTGGCCACAAGATTGCATGCATGCATGCAGGTGCTGACTGGTCACCACTCACCAGACATGCGAACCGTGCCATCAAAGAAATTCTCGCTGCGATGCAAAAAGCCCAACATCAACATGCTCTAGTTGCAAACTGGGCGGTACCGATTGTGCTTGGAACATAAACATTACTCGAGTCAGGGACAGCCCAATTCCCCAGGCTTCACAGGAACCGTACGCTTACCTTACACTCGTCTGACGGTGAAAAGATCCATGCTTATCAGCGCAAGTAGAGACACGAACGAGAGCGAGTCTTCACGCTTTGGTGGGCCCGTCGAGACAGCTGAGGGCAGCTCCGAACGATACCTTTCAGCCAAAGAACTTGAGGCTGTCCTTGTAGATTACGCGCGTAAAAGAAATACCCTCATCGGCGAAGACGATGATGTCGAGATGGCCGGCGTCGAAGACGAACCATTCGAATTCAACACAGTAACGAAAATATACCCAAAAGAGAGCTACCATTATGGCACTTCCGCCTTGGAAGACGAGGATCCGAATGACCCGAGCGACGAGCAAGACCATGAGCACCCAAAATTGCCCAGAGTGGCCAGACGGCTCGATCCTCACTCTAGGGACGTTCCACCGTCAGTTGCTGGTCTCCCATCGCGGTATACTCAGTGGAACCAGGAATGTATTATCAATGACTACTTCCGTGGCTTCAACCAAGCCATGCCACTATTCAGTGAACTTGACTATGAGTATTTTGAAAACCACTGCAGAGAGCAGGGTGGCACGAAAAATGAGTGGTGCGCTATTTATGTCATGCTGGCATTGGCTCTGAGAAACGAACCCGAGAATGCTTACCCAGGAGATGATGAGAAATTCATCGGCTCGGCCTGCGCATATGTCGATAGACATCTGTACATGTTGTCAAATGAAACAGGACTCAAGATCGTGCTGGGAATAGCCCTCTATTTCATGACGACGTGGAACCTAGAAGGGGCCGGGTTTATGCACGCCATAGCTGTCAAACTGGTCTACAGATTGGGATTTCATAAAATGGTCGGGGAATCCGCCAAACCTGTCTGGATAGCGTACATCATCGACCGAGATCTGTCGTTACTCACAGGCGAGCCATATCTGATGCAAGAGCATGATATTGATCCTTCAGTTGCGGATCTCTCTGACGAAGATGGAGGTATTCTACACAACCTTAGGGATGACTGCCGCTTTGAGATCTTCAAGTATCGCGCTCGATTGGCGACTATCCAAGGCAAGATATTTGACTTGGTATATTCAGTTCGCGCTTGGCAACTCTCTTTCGATCAACAAGAAACCGTGGCGGATCGTTTGGACGAAATGCTGGAGAAATGGGCCGAGTCGATCCCTGGGCCATTCAGGGGAGATGGAGACCCAATTTTCAACGAAGTACAGCTGAGTTTCTTCAAACAACTACATGTGACGTATTACCACTGCATCTTTTCTGTTCGTCAGGCGACGTTACGCAATCAGGAGTGGGTGGAGCGATTGTTGAGATTTGGCGAAGTTCGCAAACCGCCGATTCTGATACCCCATTGCTGCCATCGAATTGGTCAGGGTTGGTCACAGCTGCACGGAAGTGCTTGGACATGATCAACAAGGTGGACGGCCACGACCTGGAATTCCATTGGTAAGACAAACTATACGTTCAATCGCCTCGATCTATAACTGATGATATCTGGGAGCTGTACTCATGCGACGCAAGCGGCCATGACGATACTGGCCGCGAACAACATAACCCTTTCGGAGCATGATCTTCACGATTCTATTGATAAAGATCAACAGAGGATTCATATTGCACATGGCGAAGTTAGCGATCGGTTGGACGAAGACCGCACGGGGTCGATTGAGAAGTCCTTTAACACTTGCGGGGACCTGATTATCAAGGCAAGGGAGTCGGTGCGACAATTTAATGAGAGCAGAAGTATGGGGGAATCATGAGATATTTTAAAAAGATAAACCCATAACTTTGAGCTGATTGAGTTTGTCGCTTATGATGCTTGGCGTATTTTAATGTTGTCAATGAGAATCATCGTGAAGACATCACGTGATATGAAAACTCAGCATGTCGCGTGGACTCATCTCGTACGAGATCTGACCTTGGATTATCTCACTCATCACAACTCAAACATGAAATACATCGATTTATAGCACTCAAAATGGAGGAACTACCAATCAAGCCCTCAGGGATCTTCATGCAACAAGACTTTATCACACCAGAGCATGAACAAAAACTCATCCACATTTTTGAGAATGAGCTAGAATGGCCAGTCCGAGGGGGACGACTATCACTTCACTACGGCTACACATTCAGCTACAAAACATTCGGCATCGATGAGGAAACACCCTTCAAGCCTTTTCCAGATTGGCTAGTTCCTTTGCTTCCAACAACCGAAGGTCGTCCCCCGGATCAAGTCTGTCTGCAGCAATACGCCCCGGGAACAGGGATCCCGCCTCACGTTGACACCCACGGCCCCTTCGATCAGCTGTACTCACTATCTCTGGGTTCACCACTTTTCATGCAATTCGCAAACAAAGAAACAGGAGATAAGATCGAGGTTGACTTATTGCCGAGGAGTATGATGCAGATGAGCGGTGATTCACGATTACACTGGACTCACGGGATTAAATCTCGTAAAACAGATACTCTACCTGATGGGACAGTACGACTACGGAAGATCCGGTGGAGTCTTACATATCGCTGGCTCCGCGAGGGCGCAGAATGTGAGTGCGGGAATGAAAAGCTCTGTGATACGGCACAACGGCGAAAAGGAATTGAGAGGGAATATCGATGGAAACAATACGAAGAAGACGCCAAGGCACCACAGTCTTAGTTCATTATATTCATGAGCTATTAGTATATATAATCCGTAGTGTCGGAAACATTAGAAGATAACTATCTAAGGCTTAGGAGAGAACCAAGTCTCCAGATCAATAGCCCAGTCAACAACACCGCCAAAATTCAAGCTCTTGGCCCAATCCGTACGCTTCTGCTTTGTCGTAGGTCCCATATACGCGACCCAATCGGTCATACCCTTACCCTTGGTTCCAAACGTCATGATATCCGAGTCCGAGTCCTTATCGTACCACGTCTTTGCTGTAACGCCCTTCTTGCCCTGCTTAGCATCGTACGCGATGAGGCGAATCTCCGCGTCAGAGAGGTATCCAGCCTCGCCGGTGCAGACACCAGGCTCGGCTTCGGAGACGCTGAAGCTGCCGGTGAATTGACATGTTGGGCCGGTGCACTTGGGGTCTTTCATGCGGAAGCTGCGGCCGTAGCTGGAGATGCCGATGACGATCTTGGCGGGGTCGACGCCGGCTTTGGTGATCATTGCGAGGGAGTCGAGGGTCTCGGTCTTGTTGACGTGGGAGCGGAGACAGTTGCCGTTGGGGCAGCCGGAGCTGATGAACTTGTTGCCGTAATCTATAGAACGTTAGTATGAAGTATTACTGAGAGCCAAGGGAGGAGACATACCCCATTGACCGTGGAGATCGTAGGTCATGTAGACCATGTAATCAACAAGAGGCGCAATCTTGGTAACAGGGAAAGGCTTGAGATACCAATACGCAGCAGGAAGAGCAACAGAGATAGTCTTGCCGCTCTTTCCAATCTTGTTCCTCATAACCTGGAGGAACGCAACGTAGTTGGCAGTATCGGTAGAAGAACCGTCAGAGCCAGCGGAGCCAGGATACTCCCAGTCGAAATCAACACCATCAAGCTTATGGTTGTTCAGAACAGTCATGATGTTGTAAGCAAACTTGTCACGGTTCGCAGGCTTGATAGCATCACGGTAAAGCTGATATGTTGACGCATCGGTTGAGCCGGCCCAACCACCGAAGGAGATGATCTTCTTGAAGCTGCCCTTGACCTCCTTGAACTTGAGGAACTGCGCACGAACATCGGGTTGGAGAAGGACGGAGAAATCGGACTTGAGACCGGCAAAAGCAAAGTGGATATGAGTGTAAGGAGTGGTGACCTCGGAAAGCTTGGTGACGTCCATGTTCAAGCATGGTCGGCCGAGGTTGTAGCCCTGGAAGTAACCCACGTTGAGGAACTTGGCGGGCTTCTTGGTATTGCCGACGATCTTGGTACCGCAGTTTCCGATGCAGCCGGGAGTGTTGGGCTGGCTTGTACCGGGGGCACCACCTTTGGCGGTAGTGTTGGTACAGAACTCAGAAGTGATGCCGCAGAAACCATAGCCAGAGCAGCAGGCGTTGAGAGGGCAGGGGTTCATGTTGGCGAGATCCCAGCCTGTCTTGGCACTAGAGGGCTTCTTGGATCCAGGCTTTTGAGGACCGCAGACAGCGCCGGCGATGGCCAAAGGCATAGGGTTCTTTCCCTTGCTGAGGCAGATAGGCTGACCGAGCTGAAGACGGTTGCAGCCTGCAAAACCCCAGGTGTTCTTGTTGACGTCCTCAATGAACTTCTGAGTGATACCGAAGTTCTGGCCGAGGGAGTAGCACCCATCGCCAGACTTGATCTTGTAAATGAAACATGTACCGTCCTTGCTAGGCTGAGGCGTCTTGTCGGGAAGAGTACCAGCAGAGCAGCAAACCCACTGCTTAGGAGCAAGGGTAGAGCAAAAGTTCTTGGCGGGATTGTACTTGTTGAAGTTGGCGGTGGTGACCTTGCACTTCTTGGCGAGCGAGGCACAAGAATCACCGGAGACAACTTGGATAGCCTTGCAATCAGCGCGGGGGGCGAGAAGAGATTCAACGCCTGCGAAACGAGAGCGGAGCTCAACATCGCGAGCCTTGACGGTGGTGGTAGTCAGAACACCAAGGTTGATAGACTCCTTGGAAGCTTGAGCGATGCTGACACACTGACCGTGAGACCAAGTCCTCACAGCGTTCTGAACAGCCTCAAGACCATTCACGTTATCAGCTGCGTAAAGACCGATAGTCTGAGCAGTCTTGTCGTTAGCATTGCAGAGCTGGAAAGCCTGAACACCCTTCTGGAGACGAGAAGCAGATTGGCGAAGAATGTTGGAAGCACTGTCCTTCTGAACTTCACCGCCGACATAAACACCAGCAATGGAAGAGCCAGACTTGGCGAAGAGAATGGTAGTACCGCACGTAGCACCGTTGTCAAGATACTCAGCCAAAAGACCAGCGGCGGCAGCAACACTGTTACCAGATCGAAGAACAGCCTTTCCAAAAGCCGAAGTAGTCTTCACGGTAGCCTTCTCAGCACCGCAGTTACTAGCCAGCGAAACAGAGCTCTCGGCCGCTCTAGCCTGGACCTTGGTGACCTCATCCCTCTTGGTCTGTGTAGAGCTCGTCTCGGTAACGCAGGTGTACAGCGTCGCGCTCTCGCTGTAATCATTCTCAACATTGAGCGCAAACAGCATGGGCAGAGAACACCCTGCGAGTTCCTCCAGGCTGTGAAGCTGCGTCCAGTTGGCAGGGTCGTTGCCCGCGATGCTGCAGGGCTGAGGACATCCTTCGGTGAGAGGACTCGAGATGGGGTCTTCAGTCTTGATCTCGCCGACGGGGGGCACGGGGTTCACGTCGCCGGGGTTGACATCGTCCTGAGCGGAAACAAAGAATGAAAGGAATGTGAGAAGGAAAAAAGTAAAGAGTGAATTAGCCATCGTGGGCAGTAGTTGGTGTTACTTCTTGACTCAAACGGTCAAGAGTGTTCAGAAAAAAGAGTGTGACTGATGGGATGCGGGAAAAGGGAGAGGGGAGGAAGAGGCTAAGCGTCATGTTTTTAACGATGGAGGCGCCATTATTGGAAAAGAGGCGTAGTTCGTCGTTAGTGGCCTGGACTGGCATGTGGACGGCGTACAATTTGGGATGAACAGCCAAGAACCACGTTGGGTCGGTTGTGGATGGGTGAGGGTCGAGCTAACCCCTGGCTAGTGCTAGTGCAGGAACATGATGGCTCTTTTTTTGCTGTAAGGCTGCTGACCCTTGCGTCGGACCCCGGACGATATGATCCTCAGAGCTATCAATGTTTCCGATTGACAGAATGACATTTCACACCGCGATAGATTGTCGACAGACCACTCTTCCATCAACTCTCTCAGCTTCTACTTCTCTCTCTAGTAAATGCCTCTCTCAAATCTCGTCGTCTCGCTTCCTCACTATTTGTCACATCTCCAAACCAACAGCACTTCTTCCCCCTGCTTAAGTCCGGTGATTTCCTTTTTCGCCCAAGCAGCTGGGTCTAGATCTCAAAACAGGCTGTTGTCGCTTAGCCCCCCTCCAAAAATCACTGTTAGTCTCTCCACTCAATCTCCCACTGATTTCTTAACAATTATTCTGTCAGGGATAAGCGCTAAGGCAAGAAGGCCCTTTTGTCGCGCGATTTGTTACAGGGATTGGTGAGAATACCCCTGGTCTAGATTGAATACAGAAGTTGCCGGTGGCCGACGGAGAGCAGTTGAAGCCGAACATGCACGTTTACGCGCTGGGCTGATGGGCAATTTTAAATTTGAGGCTTTTGTGATTTTCGTGGAGAAGAGAGCGCTTGGTTAGATGAGAGTCAGCCACTGACGTTGTAATATCCGCAAGAAGACGGGAAGAAGCTCGTGACAGTTGACACGAAGCAAGGACCCTGAGAGCTGGCGATGACCCGTTTTTGAAGGCAGTGAGTGATTCAGTTTATTATCGCGGTTAGATAGCTAACCCCGTTATGGAAGTTGAATCATCTCGGAGACTTGGCACTCTTCTCTTTAGCCCGGCCCGAGGCTCCGTCGGTGCTTTCGCTTCAGCCTTAGGATTTTTTCATCAAGGTTGTAACGTTGTGTCGGCCGACAGGCAAGAACCCCCAAATCACCCCCAAAGCGCCCAGTCAGCCAGCCATGACATCTGGGCTCTGCAATACCACGTGTAAAGATCTACAGGCTGGGAAATACAGCGGCTTTATGGTATAAAGATTTGCAAAATCAGTGAAGATCACCATTTGCATTCTTCTTTCGTTGAAAGTTAGACTTTTTAGCACATGCTCGGTCGGTTGATCAGTGGAGTACTGCTGCCTTGTGAGGAAACGGTGAGGTTGGTAGATTGTGGTTAGGTTGGTCCGAAAATGTTTATGTTTAATTTCCTGCCAATTTCCGACACTCGTGAACTCAATTTTTCACGATGTTACCTGATGGTGCTCAGCTGAAAACAGGCTTTCGCTTACCCTAGACTGGTAAACTTTATTCAACCCGAAAAATCGCAAACGAAAAGGACGTACTCAATAAGAGCCTCAGCCATGATGTAGTCATCCGATTCAACTATAAAAGTGACTCAGTAAGTGATGTTTTGATCTTCCAGAAAACTAAAATATTCTTGACCAATCTGCCGTACTCTCCATTGGCAATCAATGCACATGGCTAAGGAATCTATCCTCCAAAAACCAAACCGAAACATTTTGACGTCTGCATGGTAGCTCAATCAGCTATAAGGTGTAACGCAGCCCAGCCCATACCGGTTGTATGATCAACCGGAATAAGCAGCAAGACCAGGATTGCCATTCCCAAACTTAAAAGTCCGGCTTCGAATCCGACCAAAGAGAGGGTGATGTATGAAATCTTGCACAAATACGTGAAATCCTCGACCGTTTGTGGGAGTCCCTGGGCAGTTAACTTAGGCAATTGTGTAGGCAGCTGGTACACTGCCTGAACTGATTTGAGAAAGAACATGAAGACCGCGTTATCTAATCAGACTTTTGTCTGCTCTTCGGTGTATGAAAAGAGGCTGATTGGCGAAGGCATTGCCAAGGGATAGAAACCTTGCCTCTTGACTCCCTCATAAATTGCTCATGAGATAACTCATACACACTATTACCTGTTTGAAAAGAAAGTTTAGAAAAACGGGTGTAGATTAGTAGCGTGCCACACATTACTTACAAACAGTGCAGAGTCCTTTGCCTGATAGGATATCTCCTGACCGAGAACATAATTCAATAATGCATTTATCTGGAAGAAATACTTATTAGCGCAGGGGCTTCACAATCAGGTGAACGTTACAAAGTGGGTGCGTTATAGAGAACATCCCTATGTACTTGCCCCAGGAAAGTCATAAAGCTTACGAGAAATGCAGTATGTTTCGTCGACATCTTCATACTCTTGGGCTATTGCTTCCTCACAATCTCCCTCCCAGCAGATATCTAGCATATAAATATGTAAGATTATGGGATATCCGAATTTAATGACAGGCTTACGGCGAGAGCAATAGGCATAGCTTTTGCTAATTACTTTCTCCCCACAGTCGTTCCAGTCGCAAATGTCTATCGTGCACTATGTTAGCTAGGCATCAACTAACAGGGAGCACTGCTAACGTTTAATGCAATACTTATATCCGTCTTGATATACATCGAGCTGGCATTTATCGAAAGTGCAAGAATCTGCAATGATTCAGGTTAGAAAGATCTACGATGCCCTGGAAACGGTCGGGGGATACTCACGGGACATGCAAAACCTGCCTCTGTTGCTGCGGGTCCTTTCCCGGCACCCAGAAAACTGACACCATTCTGCGAGAGAAGTATTAGCGAGGTAACGTCTTAAAGGTCGGAATCAGCATAGATATGACTTACTAGGCATGGTGGATCACATATAAAGCCGTTACAGAGATAGACTTTGAGAATATGGAGGAGTTTGGGAAAGAAAGATGTTTCGTAGAATGAAAGATATATCTCTGAGATTTATAATGTTGAATCATTTATTGGTAAAACACGGAGCCATGTGAAGCTGAAGTTGATGACAATGAATGTTGCTCCCCAGCGCTAGGTGAAACAGGTGGCTTCATTGAGTGTCTGAAAATAACCGCCATTGGAATAGACGCCCCAAGCCACTCGGCGGTAAGTTCAAGGCCTAGGGGAGGACGATTCGATAAGAAGGGCTCGTGTAGAAGCCACAGCGGCAAATCTGTCCTTGCCCTGATGGCGGTGTAAGCGCCGAGGCTGTGGGATACCTAATTATAGGTACTTAGCATCGTCACCCAGCTGAGCTGCAATTACAATTGAGCTGAATGACGAATTGTTGGAACAAATGGCATGCTATGCGAAAAGAATAACTAGGTTGAAACACGAACGACAAATAAATTGATACTACAAGACAAGAAGTGCCTAGATTATGATACATTGTCATGCCAAGCATTCCTCTTGTTGCTTTAATTATGGCGCTTTATAGATTCTAGGAGGACTTCTTGGACGCTCGGGAGGAAAAACCACAGGCTCAGCAGGGAGCTTACTCTTAGGCCTCTCAGACTGAGGTTGTTCTGGGGCGCAATGTCTAGGAAGCTCTGCCAGTATCCCCTTATTCTTTCTTCTTGCCTGCATTCTCTAAATAACCTATCTAATACCCCTAAGAATCAGTAGACTTCTAATTGTGGCGCCGACTGCTACACCGGTAATGCCACCGCGAGACAAACCAGGTTTAGAACTAGGCTCAAGTGTAGGACTGGCATCTCTGCTCGTGGGCGAATCCGTCGTGGTCTCGGCTTTCGGCGCGCTGACGTTTACGTATTGGGACTTTGCTAGTGTCCTGCTATATGTGCTGTCCATTAAAGAAAACCAATAGATGCAATCTTCGTTGTTCTCGGTCGCGTTGGAAATATCATACTGGGCCTTCCAGCCGGTAGAATCAGATGTACCATCGTCTAGGCAGTTCAATCAGCAAGACGATATACAGAAGGGAGGAGGTCCAACTACTTTCTAAACGAGCGGTTGTGTTCTTTTCAGCGTCAATGAATTGCCATATGTAGAGGTCAACCTTTTTAATGTTGGTGTTGTATAGGATCGGGATCATTTCTCCGTCCTCATAATGGTTGTTCTTGGTCATGTCCTGGTCGACTGCTTGATCTGGGTCCTGCTCTGGGGGCCGCAAGAACTTGCTGAAGCATGATGCCCAGGTCGTGAATACAGAGAATATTAGACCGAGTTTCACGAGGAAAGACATGGTATGAGGGGATGATTGGCCAGTTTGACCAAACAAGATTTCCGGTATCGGATCCTACCATCTGGGCTTGGCTTAAGTTATGACCATACGCTCGAAATTTCAAGGTGGACACATTTGAGAGGGGAAAATGCCATTTCTACATAAGGAGTGGATGCTATCGATATATGTATTCGATCATCCGGGTATCCGAGCCAACCTCTTCACAGATGGCCAAATGAATCAGGACTGCATACCCAGTCTTCATGCAGTAGTAGTCCGTATGAAGCTTAGTTGCGGGCCAAGCTGCAGATGATCATGCTGGGGTTGTGAACTCGTGATCAGGGGGTTGGTTCGCCGACGACGGTCGAACAGCATATCTTCAAAACATCTCCCAAGTGAAAGAATGGAGACCAATAGGACTCAGACTGGCGGCGGGCTTATGAATGAATGACCTTGTACATTCAATCTTGACCATTGAATTATCCATGAGAATGCTGAACTGATTCCGACTGCCTGTCTGAAATGTCAAAGCGCTTCCTGATTTGCCTAGTTGCATGTAGAGGTGGGACAAAACACAACCAACAGCATAACAACCAACAGAGCGTTGAATGGGCAAAATCAGTAGGCCGATCTCCGAAATCACTTGTACGGGTATATTACCTGATTTGGGAAGTGGTTAGGCGAACGTGAAAAAGAAAAAGGGCTGGGCTTGGTGAGTCTCTGGATAAAATTGCTTCGAGTGAAACCATAGGATATTTACGGTCAGAGAAGCCTTCATGCCTTGGAGCTACGAATTAGAAATAGATTTGGGCCAGACTCAGTTGTGCGTAAATAGTCCTGTGAATTAATAACGTAGACTCATATCATAGTCATGAAGGGATATTCTAGCTGAGTGTCAATCCAGTCTTTGCAGCGTGTATTTACGACACAAATATCCCACGGGACATAAGTGGAATACAGTTATGATGACTTGAATGTTGGTTATAATAGCTTTGTATTAGCCCTGCCATCGTGCCGGCCTCTTCTTGCGATTCTTCGTGCCTAATAATGTCTTTTCCTTTGTGGTCCTTCTTGAGGAGCCTTCTCAAGCAACGCACGCCACTGTTCCATCCCGGTATCACTCTGGAAGAGTAAAGCCTGATTCTAAGGTTGGATATTCGTGTCCGCAACAGACTGCACGTCGGCAGCCGTCGATCCCTTTCCAGGAGGACCGCCCTTGGCGCGAGCCTACACCGGTCAGTAAATCATCATCGCATAAATCATCGCGATATCTTACCTCTGCGCGCTGCACCTCGGCGGAATCCTCCTTGGTCACCTCAGTGGGCGGTTTTCGTACGACTTCGCCCGCCGTCTCGAGGAAGTTTTGCTGCTTGTCATGTAGACTCTGAGCAGTCGCTGCCGCACCGCCTTTGATGGGGCCGCTGCCGGTAAGGGCTGATTCTTCTGAAGCGATGGCTGATGCTTCGACTTGTGTGATGGGACGGCCGTCGACGGCTTGGGATTTGATGTCGTCTTTGGTGGGAAGGTCTGCCATATTGAAGATGGGTGCGTTGAGGGGCAAGAGATGATGAGTCTTTGGTGGTTTGTAATGATTTTTTTGGTGATTTGATGGAGATGAGAGTGGTAGTTTGAAGTTTTGAGGTTTGGTTCAAGAAGAAGGTTGAATGTTAAGATGATATCATAACGTGAAGGGCATCGTCACTGCTCCATAAAATAGACGAGGAAGGAGTTCTTGTTTAGAAGGGACCATTTCTCGTCACAATGACCTCATAATCGAACACTTCAAGACTTACAACTACAAAAGCGAGGGAAGCTCTACGGATTTTGTCAGTACGTGCTGTTTCGTGTAGTCGAGCGCTGCGGTTTTGGAGAGGATGAAGTAGCGCTGTGATGAGAAAATGAACGTAATGCACTTGGCACACCATAATAATTTGATTAGAGGTAATGAGGCAGAAAGATACTAAGGTAGGAATATGCTAAAATATCTTAAAGCATATCTTCAATCGAGTGGTCCTGAATTCTCACCATGCCTTTAGGACGGTTGAACGTTAGCGTTATGCATATCTCCGCCGCAATTTGGACAACCACGGACATAACTTTCTTATATCCGCCGTAAGCTCTCAGATCAATTTAGTTTCCGGCCATCCATGCATTATTCGTACACACGCCAGCTGAGCTCTGTGAGCGTCGCTGACGAGAGAATCGTCCCGACCCGGCGACTTTTCCTCGTCGCTAAGAGCGCTGATAGGTCAGCGGCAAGATATTGTCCCGTTTCGAACGACAACATCCATGTGTCCAATTAGGCGCGCGATATGTGGGAAAGATCTGAGTGTATATTATAGGACTATAAGTAGCCCGTTGGAGCCATTTCGTGTTCAGAACAGTATCGGCTCTATCAGTTTAAGTGCACTGCTAGATACTTCTCCAATCTCCACCGAATTCCCAGCAGAATGTCCCAATTCATGCCCACCGAATACACCCCCGCCCTGCTCAAAGGTTTCTCCGCCTGGATCATTTATAATGGCGCATCGCATGTCGTCCGGGGGATAACAGAATATCTCTCCCAAACTGAGCACGCAAAACTCCCTCCATCAACCGTCTCCCTCATGGATTCACAGATCCGTTTCCTTGGTGGAACATACATTGCATACGGCGCTGCGCTATGCTGGACGTCCTACGAAATCAACGAAAGACAGCTGGTTTTGAATATTCTATTGGCTGGTTTGGTATTGGGCGGTATCGGGAGAGCGATTTCAGCTGGGGTTTTTGGGTGGGGATTTCCGTGGTTGCAACGAGCTACTACCACTGAGATTGCCGTACCCCCCTTGGTCTACTGGTTTGGCTCGCGCAAGTATGTTTAGGTAAGGGACGGTTGGGCTAGTTGTCATATGGCGTCGTATGTAAGGCTTCATTACCCAACTTTGAAATGTCGCCAGCGGAGACAAAGAGCAGTTTGCATGACGTGTAGAAGTTTGAAAAGGTACAAAAGTTTTGAGATGCCTAGCTGCGCTACACCGATGACTTTTATAATTGTTCAAACCTCTTGGGCGAGAGGGTATATGGATGGCCTTTCCATGAGCCCACGAGAGAAAGATAACAACGCAATGCATACATCAGCTAACACTACTGTGAAGAACTGCTCATTAATAGAGGATTTAGACTCCGTAGGCCAAGAGAACTGAAACAGGAATATCTAAACCCTATTAACTAAGTCAATCGACCTTCTTCCTTCTATTTCGCATAAATCGAACTAGTCGCTCTACCTCAGTGATTGCACCACGTTCTCGAAGGAAGTCCGCGATAGAAGTGTCCTTGTCTTCACGCCTCATTGCAAAGTCCAGAGGCATTCGTCCTATGGAGGCACGATGATTAACAGAAACGCCTCTGTCTATTAGACTCTGAACCATTAATTTTGTGCCTGTTGATGCAGCTTCGTGAATAGGCCCCATTCCGACGTCGTTCTCGTTTTCACAGTTGATGCCAGCGTCTAAGAGAAACAAGACGACAGCATCGCCACCCTGTTGAATAGCATGCGTCAGAACTGTTTCTGTTGAATGCCTAGGCTTGAGGTTTATATTGGGGTTTGCGCCATGATCTAACAAAAGTTTCATAACTTTCTCGTTTCCCGCCGAGCATGAATTTGAGAAGGCAAGGTCGAGATACTCTGAAGCTGGCTTAAATGCGGCGTCTTCTAGCATCGATGAAACAATATCTAGGCGTCCACGCTCGCTGGCGGAAACAAGAATATAGCCGGAATGTCGATCTCGGGTAGTAGGATCTGTGCTGTATCGGAGGAATCGCTTGATGGTGCTCTCTCCACACCTGCTACCTACTTTGGAAAGAACAGCTTCTCTCGCAGCGTTCGTAATTTCTAGTTTAGCATTGGCTCCAAGTAACAACTCAATAACGCTGGATTCACCACCAATGCACGCTTTGATAAGAGCGGTGTGACAGTTGTGATCCTTGCGATTCACATCAGACTTCTTTTCGAGGAGGAGCTTAACGATTTGAGGGTGGCCTCGTGTGCTGGCTTCCATCAAAGCAGTTTGCCCGGTATCATCCGAAAAGTCAACTGTGGCACCTTTTCCAATCAGCGTCTCTACTAGGGTCAAGTCTCCAACCGAAGCAGCCTCGATGAGAGCTGTGCGACGGTTCTCTCCACACATGTCGACTGTACCGAGTTCGAGGAGCTCTGTGTAGGCCGTATGCCGTTGATGTCGGATTGCCAATATGAGAGGAATATGGCCACTTTCATTTGATTTGCGAATGTCTGCTCCACGGTCGAGTAGCATTTTAATGATATCCCCGTCTCCTGAAATGGCTGCCAAGTGTAGAGGGGTGTTCCCCTCATATCCAAGCATGTGTGGGTTAGCACCTGATGCTATCAAAGCCTTAACAACACGACGACGATCCATGCCAATGTCGAAGTAGAATTGTGAAGAGTGCGAGGGAATATCGATTTTAGAATTGAATGAAAATTTGAATGCCAAGCATTCCATCGCCCAAACAAGCTCATCCGGGCCACAATCGTCTATTGCATCGAGGTTGGGCCTCTCCATCTGCGACTTTGCCAAATCAATGAGCCCGAAGAGGGCAGCCAGGTGACAGGGATTCAGTTCTTTGGGTGCTTGAATTTCCCCCCCCCACCGATCACCAAGGGCGAGTACGACCAGGACCGCCTGGTCGAACATACCTCGTCTTCGGAGCAACGAGATGGAATTTATGTATGTTTGATCAAACCGCGAGAGGCGTTTCAAGTGGCCAACACAATTGAATGCGCTATATTCGTATAGCGGAAGCCTCTTAATTTCGTCTACCAAAGTCTCGTAGTTGCGCCGTTCCGGAGAACTTTTTCGCCTCAGATGTAGTCGTGCAAGCCTAGAAGGTTTGAACGCATCACAAGATCGGAATCGCTTCTGCGAGTCGTTGCCAATGCCTTCCGAGCGCTGCCTCGGTAAGCCGATGGATAAACAGGTGAGGCACTGCCTTGCGAGATAGGCATCAGTGCCTGAAGGCAAGTAGCAGTTGAGTGAATGCCGGGTGAGGAAATATTCCTCAAGCAAATGCCGGTTATGCCGGAAAAAGTCTTTGGTAGTATAGTGGACAAGCCGTAGTTCTCCGCTTCCTTTTGAAATCTCGACCAAGCCCCAACATACAGAAAGCATTAATTGTTGGTCGATCATCCCATCTTCATGAAAGGTTGTGTCACCTTCCCGTAAGGCAAGGCCATGCTGGACTGCATCGACTGGTAGCCTCCAGCCTGTGCAACATATCCAAGTTATAACTCGAAAGGCTAGGTCACAGTGTTTTTGATTTTGTTCTCTGAGCCGCTTTAAAGTATCACTGTATGCTTGGTCCACAATATTGAACTTTGGGTTGGTGTTATGCTTCGCCCGGTCTTCGAGTCGCTCTAGAGCATCTTTCACGTCCCTTTCCGAGGTCTCGTGTTCTAGTGAGTGGAGGTATAGCCTCGCTAAAAGAAACCTTGGTCGTAGTTAGTAAGGGAGTGCTTGATATGGACCATGGTTCCAGAAACTTACATTCCCTTGACAAGTCTTGACATGATTTCTTTTACCATATTTCTTAGTCCTGGTATCTTGCCAATGCAGCTCGACTCGGACCATCCAAAGTTGTCAACGTAGGCGTCAATATCCTCCTGTTGAGCAATAATCGAAAGGGAAGGGTAACTATCAAACTGATTTGTAATGAGGGGTAAAGGTCGAGATGTGGCGAGAAGGTTAATGGCCAATTTCCTTTGAAGAAAGAGAAGCTCGCCTGGCAGGGAGTAAAGCCTTGCGTCGTCTCCTGCTTGCCACTCATCTAACGCATCAACAACCAGAAAGACTTTGGAAAACAGGCCTAAGACGGATTCCAGCGCTGAAAGACTCGTCTCTTGAGGGATTTTCACCCGTTGAAGCTTGTATTCGGCGTAAACCTGCATTATGCACTTAGGGAGGGGAGACAATCGTTCACAAAGCTGTCTCAGTATACTCGCCCGCAATTCGTCGAATGTTTGCCGATCGGCACGATTGTATCGGCAGTAAATATGGACGATGGCGGTGCTCGAATTGGGTTGAAAGCGAGCATGCAGGTTCTCGATGACGGCAGATGCGAGGACGGACTTTCCAGCCCCGGCAATGCCTGGGCAGAAAAGGACTTGGCTTTTTTCTTGTGTCCAAAACTGATATTCCGGTGAGTTGAGAAACCACTGGCAGGTTCCTGGAGCTCTTTTACTGCGTTCATCGAACTGATAAGCTCCGAACTCTTCATCAGAGAGCCAGTCCAGTACTTCCTGTTCTGCAATGGATCGTTTCAAATGCTCCACGCCGGAAATTACTGAATTGAGTATTATCTATTAGATGTAGGTTTCTCAAAAGCAAATAAAACTACTGACCTTCATCAATTTTTGAGATCATAGTTTGCTCCCTTGCAACGGACTCTGGGCGGATTCTGCTTAGAATCTGCTTAGCATATACTGCCGCTGTCATAGCTGCATAACCCTGCCAATTATCATTCTTATGAGAGTCACAATAATCGCAGATTCCGCGAATAATGAGAAATTGAAATTCATCCATCAATCCAGCGGCTTCCATTTCAAAACATAAGATATTTGCCTCGGCAGCAAGTTCGTCTCGCTTGAAAGCATTCTTCATGAGAGTACTACCCGAAGCAATGGTACCATAGTGGACTTCGACAACCTCCATTGGTTCTTGTCGTAGTGAGCGATCGATTAGATCAGTCGGGGCTGCCACGCAAAACTTATGACATGGTGCACTCTTATGATCAACCGTAGGTGAAAACAGAGAATCTGGATCGTCTGGACGCCCATATTTGACCCTTAATCTCTCGTTGTTTGCGACGATGCTGCTGACCTTCTCATGAATCTGAAGGCCCTTTCGCTCATATTGGGTCTTAAGCCCTGCTACTGCAGCGAGTAATAGCGGGGGTGGTTTATTGTGCGATGCGGTGGGTTGAAACCCTTCTTTTGTAGCTTTTCCGAAGTCGTACTGGAAGACACCGCTCTGGCCCGGTGTAGGTGAACTGACCACAATATCCCCCAAGCGAATATCATGCTGTTTAGTAGGAGCGCCTCCGCCAATCCCGACCATAAGACCAAAACGGATGTTCCGAAAGCTGCGTATCATATCCTTGGCCACAGTGGCTGCAGATGCAGTCCCGTATTGACCATTTGGCATCACAGCGACAACCACCATGTGGCCTTTGATCTTGCCGAAACTGTACACATTGAAGTCGTTTGCTTCCCTGTGCGCAGGTGATTCGTGTGGCTCATATTCCTCATCGAATTGTTCCTGGGCTGCAGTGAACTCTGTCGACAAAGCACAAACCCATCCAACGGTATAGGAACTTGGATCGCTTGGATTAGACATTTGAGAGATCCTGACGGGTGTGCTTTTATGCCGAGGAGTATCGATAAGTAGTAATGAGAGGGTAAGGAATGGGTTAATTTTCTGATGCTGGGGCTGGAGTAGATACAAATGCACTGTGCACTGCGCGGGGCACAGCCTTGTTGGGCGGTAATCGAACTGGTTGGGGTGCATTTTGTGCCGAAATTATACAAGGCCCATTGTTTAACAGAGACTCCATTGGTTGTATTTTAACAATAGCCGCCGGCCCCCCTGGAGTACAGCCCTTGGCATAAGAGCATTGACCGATTTACGCTAGGCAGACAAGCCCGCACTCGTTTCTGTGACGATGACCAAGGGTTTTCATCCCAATCGGCCAATTAGGTGCGGTGGGATCTGCAAGGGTGATATGACGAGGCAGACTGCCAGTGGTGTTGCAAAATCTGTGAAAGCACTGGGACTGCAATAAGGACGTGCGTCGGCCAACGCCTGCTAGGCTGTCTCTGGTTAGCCCTTGTTATTAGATGTTTTTGCATGGAAGATCCCCAAGACTGTGGCATGGTAATGATAAGTTAGCATAAAAAGAGTATCTTCGGAATTGATTATAAAATATTTTAGTAAGATTGTCCAGGTAGATATAATTTATAGGCTATATATCTGTGACGATCAGACCGCTAGACCAAACGCCCGATAACGGAAGCCGCCATTATTAGATAACACAGGAATAGGGCCCGTGTCACTTCTCAACGCCATCACTATATTATTACTCACTGCTACCCATTTCCTTGGGGCTCTTGGCTGAGAATGACCCCTTTCCATTTCCCTCCTCGATTCCAACAATGCTTTCTCTATCCTGCTGAAATATTAGCTCTCTAGACAACCTTTACCTCAAAATTGAGACTAGATCACCATAACACATACCTCGTCCTCAAAAATAGCATTAATTTCTTCAAGGGGCAAGCCCAGCGTGTCAGGGAAATAGTACAGAATCATCGCTGCACAAAAGCATCCTGGAATAATAAAGCACAGATAGAACTTCCAGCCAATCGAACTGCAGCCGTTAGCTTCAACGGTTCTGGCTACAGATGCGATAGGAACTTACTTGAAAGCAGTGGGTGCCACAGATAGCCATATGACGTTCATCAGTGCAAGTGTTCCACAGCCCAGCGAGACACCCTTGGCTCGTATATGAGTAGGGAACAGTTCACCCAGGTAAACAAATTGGGCACTGTCCAACGCAAACTCATAGATGAAGACAAACAAAAAGAGCATCGCGACGCAAGCTCGGAGGGCTGTCTTGTTGTCTGAGCCCGCAAAATTGGCTACCAATGCTGCCTCAATTATCAGACATGCTTGGCAAGCGAGGAGACCATAGCCAATAAATTTAGGCCTTGGGATCTTGTCGACGACAAAAAGTGCAAGGCAGCCACCGCCCCAACCCAAGGTGAGCCAAGCAGCTGCATAGATGAGCTGTGTTTCGACTCCAAAGCCGAGCGCGCCGTAGATCTAAGAAATGGTTAACATTATGTTCGTTGTTGAGCTTCTCGGCGTGTAGTGTCTGACCATAGGACCATAGTCTGTGATCAGGAGGGGTCAGTAAAGAAGCTCAGGCTATCGTGCAAAGGAATTTGGGGTACTGACTGTTAATTACTAGAATTCCAGATGTTTGGATACTGGCAAAAGTTCCCATGCCGATGAGGGTTCGTTTTCTGTTGTTTTTATTGGCAAACATGGCCCAGTATGAGCTTGGGAGTGTCTTGTCGATTTCGACCTGCTCGCGAATCTGAAGGAATTCGACTTCTACTTCTTCTGGAGTGTGGAGCTTTAGCAGAGTATCCCTGGCCTGTTCGTGGCGGCCTTGAAGCATAAGCCATCGGGGAGATTCCGGCAGCCAGTAGAGAAGCGCAAGCAATAAGAGTGATGGAAAACCCTGGAACACTGTAATAGGCTTATATCAGTTCCCAGTCAAATCAACAGTTGTCCTCTCGGTGCCTACCAAATGGAACTCTCCAGGCATTTGAGCTTTTGAAGAAATAGAAGCCGTAGCCAACCCAAACCGATGATGAGTATCCGAAGAGCAAGCTGGCTCCGACGAGACCGACGAGAACGCCACGGATCGAGGGAGGTGCTATCTCTGTCATCCACAGCGTCACCGACGAGATCATCATATACGTCCTGGTCGTCAGGTTAGAACATAATTTTGAGCTGCAAGTATACCATAGTTAATCTTACCCAGCTCCCGATACAAATCGGAACACAATGAATTGGGCGACGTGCACAGATCCGGCCAGCACAGCTCCTGCTATGATGATGACAGTAGCCGACTGGATGGATGTAAAGTCAGTCATGCTATCTTTTCAAGAAGAGTAAGCGAAAGGCACCCACCACTGCCACGGCTGCTTTTCGTCCCCATTTATCTGCAAAGAATGGAACTGTCAAGATGAAGATGGCTGCGCCAGCAAAGAAGAGAGACTGGAAGATGAAACTTTAGTCAGTCTATAGTTTGCGGGATAGAGCCAGGGGCTTCTCACATTCATGGCAGAGATAAGACTAGTTGCGTTTGATCTGGTACCAAGTTCGAAATACTCGACAAAAGAGGGTTGCGCTGGGGAGAATCAACAGCATGAGCAGAGAAACTAAAGCGGGCTATAAGTGGTGTCTTACCGACGGTTGCTCCAATAACACCAGAAGCATACCCAAACGACATGGCTCCAAGACTAATGCTCAACATCTAGTAAGGAAGAGTCAGTCATAAGAGGCCAGAAACTTGTATTTCGAAAGCGTGGTACTGACGACAACGAGCAAGTAGGGTCTCCATTGTCGCTTCTTGGAGTGCTGCATGCCCGACAGTGCTGTCATCTCGTGGGCTGTCATGGCGGATGGAGATATCTTTTGCTTTCTTGCACAGATGTTGGATGCGACCAAGGTAGATAAATGGCGTCAAAAAGCTAATTCAGAGTGGTATAAGACCAAGTCTATGATTTTGTCGACTCTGCATAACCGTCTTGACATCGCGTGGTCTATATAAATTACACTTCTATGCCCAAGCATTACTGTTATCAGCTCCCTCTATTCGGTGATTTTTCGGTCTTCTTTATCTATCCATCATTCTCTTTTTGGGGCTTGTTTGTTTCTCAGCTTTGACCTCAGAGTATGATTAACGTTCAGGCGCATTCTACCTCTGTTGATATGGATGATCGACATGCGATAGTTGCTGACAGACTTGGATGATGAGATAGTCTTTCGAGCTGCTATTCGAGGAACCATAGCAAAGCTCCCTAGTCTCGGAAGCGACTGTGGAACACGGTCCGTGCAACGAGAGGCAGTTCCATCTCCGCATACGACTTCGCAGCGCCTACGGTAGGTCAGACTGATGCTGGTGTTGAGAAATGTTGCTTATCTGGTGCGGCTTATCTCTGATATGATTTTGCTTTCGTTGGTCCTGTAGATAAGCTTCGTTTAAGTATAGCTCCAGACTAGATCAGCCACCAAGTCGGCTAGGTGCTTACTTGGAGTCCTTGCGGTTGGTCCGTCGGGCCGTCCCCACTCACAATTCCGAAAGCCTGGGTCTCGGATGAAGTCTGGGCGTCCAGAAATGATATGCCAATTGCGGAGGTGAAGATAAGCTACAGTGCTACGGTAGCCGGGGGGCTATTAAGAAAGAAGCCATAGCGCCTCTGTCTCAAGTCAATTGACGATCGTGACCATAGTCATACTTACTGTCTTATTGATAAGTCGCTTTCTTTGACGTCAGGGCAATTACAAAGCACAAAGTTCCAACATGGGCTCCGTTCATCAGCTCGAGCATGGCTCCCGCAGCACAACAGGGACCTGGGTCCCCTTTGACTGGGAAGATCCAGTTTATGGGCAGCAGTCCAAGGGAGAGGTCGTGGTTATTCGAAGCGGAGGAACATCCGGATCTCTGAGTGCAGGCCTCTGGCGCACGGGCCCAGGAATCCCTGGATGCAACGAGGACGGCACTTGCGACGTCGTGTATTCAGCTCCCCTCGGCGATGAAACTATGCTGCTGCTCGAGGGCTCGACAGAGGTTACCATCAAGTCCACCGGCAAGAAGTATCAACTTAGAGCAGGCGACATTATCTGCCATCCAAAATATGTCCAGCTTGCTTGGCACACCAGCGCCCCTTTTCTGAAGAAGTTCTGGGTCATGTGGGATGGATCTACCCCCGGAAGCGCAAAGGACGACCTCATAATTGGCAACATTAACGACAACCCCCAAGTATGGACTTATTATGCTTGGGACGAGCCAGGCAAGGGCCAACAGCAAGCTGGCGAGTTTCACCTCGTCAGAGATACAGGCTCAACAGGAAGTCTCGAGGTCGGACTTTGGAGAACAGGCCGTGGGATGCCTGGATGTAACTCTGATGGCTCTGCATCATTTGAGTACAGTGCACCTCTTGGCGATGAAACAATCATGCTTCTGGAAGGCTTGGTCACCATCACCGAGCATGACACGGGGAAGACGCTCAAGTTTCAAGCCGGAGATATAATCGCACTGCCCTCTGGTCTGAAGGTTACATGGACATCTGAGGCGCCTTTTGTCAAGACTTATTATGTTCTTACAAGCGACAAGTCTGCTGTCTAAAGCGCTGTGATCTCTCTATGTGTCACTCTCATGCACATACATGCCTTGGGGACAGACTACAAAGGATTAGGAGATAGTTGAAACATACCATATATTAAGTAGAAGTCGACAACAGGGAACGCAATTTATGTCATCTTATCAACCATCTTAAGCACTGAAACTTGCGTTGTACTATCTTTGACATGCCCACTTTACATGAAATTATTGCCATTCGCAAAGTCCATTTCGAAGATTGAGTTTCCGTTTCCCCAAGGATCTGCTGGCGCGAGATCAAAAAAGTCCATAGAAGTTGGGAAATGAATCGGCTGTACTGGCTCAGGAGGGCCATGCTCGGGGCTTGGAGACCGGCTCGATGGAACCCAGTTGTCGATACTGTCCCAGAACGTTGCGAGTTTGGTCTTTTCGCCCATAGCTAGTGTGTACTCAAAAAACTGACGATATCGGCCTCTGTCTTCATACAGACGCTCAAGCTTCATGAACTGCCACTTATCAATAATGCAGATCTAGAACGAGCAATATACAAGGAAAACTCACCATTAGCCTCGAACTCTCCCAGTAACGGCACAGCTTTAGCAGTAGGCCTCTGCACTCCTCGTATCGTCGGACCGACGCCTCGCGTATCTCATCGTTACTGTCAGACGCAAAGAGAAGGTGGATTGAGCCGGCAACCATGGCGCAATACCCTCTGAAGCAAGAAACCGTGACGCAGCCAAGGTTTTCTGTTTCCTGTAACAATGTGAGTGCAGTGGCGTGGCTTCTGGCTGACGTCCAGGCTTTGCTCAAGAACCCTGGAGGTGTCCTACTAGCCGACTCTGCTAGGCGATGCTGTAGGAGGAAAGGGTGGTGAAGCAGACAGCCCGCGAGATGGAACAAGGCGCGGCCATATATCAGAGGCCCAGCGGCTCGTGGGTCTACCACGCCACCTGAAGTGAGCGATTGCTCCCACACGGCATTTAATGGATCTAGTAGTCCGTAATTGAGCTCTAGTCGCCACAGAGTTGACTCGAGCGCTGAGTACTGTGAAGCAGCAGACCAGGGAACATCGTCGTGAACTTGTGAGTCCTCTCGCAGCACGTAATTCACCACGCGGATCAGTGTCGCTGCCATCAAGATGATTACAGAAAAGTGACTGTGTTCGGGTAGCTCGGTAACTGCTGGCGCGTCTCCAGTGAGCTGTTCAAGTACTGGACCCCGATTGGCAATGCAGTCTCGGAAAGCTTGTTCGTTGGACGGAAGACGTAATAGGCAGTCCTTGTCTTGCAGCGCCGTCGGTCTTTCTCGCCCGCAAGACATCAGCCGGTCAAGTAGGTAGATAGACCAGAACGTCCGTCGATATTCTTCCTGAACTTCAGGACGAAGACGGGGATCTGGCTCAGTATTGAACCGGTAGCACTGCGCTATACGAACAGCCAACCCAAGCTTAATCCATGCAGCGCGACATCGGCCATCTGGAAGAGATCAGCTTTACTGATAGTCTGCGTTTACAAAAGAGGCATCGCATACCAGAGTAGTCAATAACGACAAGAAGGTGAATCGTTTGGGCAATCGTTAGACTCTCCGCAGAGTCAATGTTGGCTGTTGAGCGCTTGATGGCAAGCTCCCATGCTTGGTCTGCACAGAGCAGCAATGGTCTAGTGGAACGAGAAAATCGGCTCGCAGTGGCCAGTAAGGCGAGACAAAGGTAGTCCGGAAGCTTCTGAGCTGCCAAGCGATGGCGAAAGGTTTCCTCGTGGAAGAGAGAGTATGGTTGATTATGGCAATACTGGAAGTATAGGTCTGCCGCAGCAGAAAGCGTCATGTCGGACGTGACAGCCAGCCACTTGGCATCTCCGGAGACATTCTCTTTGCGACTCAGATGGAAGTTATTTCCGTCAGCCATGCCACGTTCATTGGTGAGAAGACTTATGAGGCTACCGAGTTACTTGGTCAGCCGAGCGAAATGTTATGTGTACACGATCTCACAAGCCTTGCCTTTGCACACTCGTTTCGAGCGAGGTTATTCGGGACTCGAGAGAAAGTGAAGATAGAGCTTCCTCCTTGTTAGTTCCTGCTGGCATGAGTGGGCGGAGGGCCCTGTCAGAGTCATTTTGCCCCTCGTCTTTGAGTGCTTCTTCATAGGAGCATGTCTGCTTGAGGCGTGTGCAGTATGTGCATGTCGGACGGTCGCCAGAGCAGCGGACCTTTTTGCGCCTTGATGACAGTGAGCTTTTCCTCCAATTACAAGAGGCAGGAGGAAGACGCTGCATGTTTCATACCTGCAATTGGCACATGCCTGTCTTGTCCGTTTGAGTTTGTACTCGAGTTGCTCTTTTTCCATCGCTGCCTACTACGTATACCCTGGAACGATCCCCGGTTAGTTAAATGAACCCAGCCTATCAACAGCGTTCGTCTAACCTTGGTTGCACAATATGTCCTGGCCAAACGGCTTCGGTGGTGGGACAATGCCGTAGAGTCGGGGTGAGCTTGCGCCGGGATGTTAGGAACCTGGGGAAGCTCTGAATGTGCAGGGGAGTCACTCTCTCTGCCGTTCGTTATCTTATCAGCCATATCATACTGGTAGATAATTAGCTGAATTCTAATCTGGGAATTCTTACTGCAAGAAGCTTAGTGAAGTAGTGTAGATAGGCTGATTGCCGTACCCACTCGCTCGTTATCTGGAATCTGTGGAGTAAGAGGCATAGCGCCCTCTGATTGACTGAAACAGGTCCACTCTATGATTTAAGGGTCTTTTTTTCAGAGGTGTTTAATTACAGCCTAAGGTGAGCCGTGAAGGAAGATAGATAAGTATATTATAACTTTAATCAAGCTTAGTATACTATATATTAAAAATACAATTAGATACTTATCATGAAATTCTTTAAGGCATTGTATAATTTATGGTCATCCAAGCGACTGACAGTATTGTTGGGTCTACCATCAGTGTGAGGTTGGGTGAAGTTGGGCATATTGTCAACCCCATGGCCATTTCATTTGACAAGCTCGCCAAACTTTCATTGAATGACGCCTTGAAGAATGCCCAGATTCGAACAAATACTGTTGCTGGTGGTGTGGCGGGAGGCTCTGGTACGGATTCGTTGGTTTTATCCTGTACATCTGACTCGGACCTTGAGGCACCAGCACAGAATATGAGGCTGTTGACGGAGACTTACAAAGTGAACCGAGCTCGAGCACATCAACCTTCACTAGACATGACAGCTCCTGTTACTCCAATGGTAGTATCACAGGGTAGCAAAGTCTCCGTCCGGGTTCGAGGATGCTATTGCCATAGCAATTGGGGACTTGTTCAACTGGCTCAAGACGGGAGTTGAAAAGGTAGTGGACTTCGTCAAGAACGCAGCTACTGGACTATGGGACTTCATCGTCAAGATTGGCAATGACATTTATCGTGCAGTTCTCGATACTGTCGATGTTGTCGTTGGGGCTGTCGAAGGGGTTTTTGACAAAATCAAGACGGGAGTCAGCAAGGTTCTCCGATATCTTGAGTTCTTGTTTGACTGGGACGATATCCGTCGCACCAAACAGGTGGCACACAACATGGTCAAATATTGCCTGGTTGACATGGTATGTGGCATCCAGACTGCCAAAGGAGAGTTAGACCAGTGTATAGGCGAGGCCCAGAAAGCAGTCGCTGAATGGTCCGGTATCAAAGACTGGCCAGGGCTCGGTGATGCAGCTTCGAAACCGCCATCGGGAACTGCAGTCGATACTACCAAAAGTGAGACTGCTGGTTCTCAAATGATGGTGGGCCACTTGAAGAACCAAGCCGACAATATCACGATACAAGGTCCAATGCCAGAACCGAGTCTGATGCAGGGTTTAGCGGACGACATGATCACAGCGCTGGAGGCAGAAGGGTTGGTCTTCCTTCGGGCCTTTAGACAGCTTCAAGACCTCGCAAAGAATTTCTCGACTCTCAGTCTCGCAGATATACTCAGATGACTTTTTGGAATTCTTGCAGAAGGTATTCTTGGAACAACCAAGGTGGTCGTCGATGCTATACTAGACGTCTTGGACAGACTTACAGACTTGCTAGGACTGTCGTTGAAATGCTCGACACCAAAATCCACATACCCATCATATCAGATATACTTAATCTGATCGGAGTCCCCGATGTTTCCTTTCTTGATCTATTTCTTTGGATCGGTGCAGCAGGTATCACAATCGTTTACAAGGTCGGCACAGGCTAAGCTCCATTTGCAGACAACGCTACGACCCGTGCATTAATCAGTGCGACAGATTGGGCTTCATTCTCAGCCGCCGTCAAGCAACCTCCCCTGCTATCATCTGATGAGAAGCACGACGGCACTTCTCACTTGAGTGTATCGCGTGAGATAGGGCGTATCATCTATATTGTGGGCCACGGCCTTGCTGGTTATATTATCATGGCAAGAACCTATATCTTCTACCCCGAAGCTATAGGTCCTAATCCAAAGAAACCCACACCGTATACCCACAGCTGTACTTGGCGCAGCGGGTGCTGTTACTCTCGTTGCCACAGACTTCCTCTTTGCAACGATTCCCCTTGAGAATCCACTTATCTCTACCCTTCGGAAGGTCACCGGTCTTGTCACTGTTCTTTTCAAGTGTGTATTCTCTAACCCGGCTCAGAAGCTCTTTGACAAGTACCAATTTCTGAATGTCCTTACGGCTGCCGACCCTAGAAAGATCAGGGCCATCTTTGACATGGTCGTTGAGGCACCGGCCTTTTTCTGTGTATTCTACCACGTCCAGGAGCTTAGCGAGAAGCCTACAAGTAGGGATAGGGCATTGGCCATTATCGAGGAGACATCTCGTATGATGGCGATCTTTGCGCGGGTGTAGTATACCGTTGCTGTTAAGGCGCCTGATCCAGTTGATAAGGTTGTAGCAGCCAGCTCTATGTCAGCATGCCTCGTTGTCACTGCTGCTTTGGAGTTCACTTGCTCGGCGATGATGTGGGATTAAATTGATTTTGTCTTTGCATAGGAGTTGAAAACTTATGTTATTTTTCAAGTTTTATTATGTTTTTACGTTATTACATCATTACCTTTAGCACTTTTTATATTATGAGAAGAATATATATTTATCTTACTGTTATACCATTACTTAACGCTTCCTTTTATAGAGGCTTTATCCCCCAATCACTGGTTCCCTTTGAAGTGAACTCAAGCGGCCACCTTGTATATGCTTCATGACTTGCAGGGACCTGTTGTTTAACGCGTTGTAGCCAGGCTGTAATGATAGTCTTGCGGAAAGGGAAGGATGGCGATACTGGTGCTAGAGCAATCGAGGCAAGCACATACTCAATGGCGAAGAAATGTGCCATAATTATTTGGGCAACGTGATTCTCGGAATCGGAAATCGTGAGGTAGTCAGAAGCGCTGGCCCCTCCAAATAACTGGTATGCGCGGCAAATGGCACCAAAAGCTAGCAAGTCAGCAAATGCTTCCTCATAGCGACATAAACTAGCATCTTACCACCGACACATGTAGATCGTGACATCTCGAGGATGCTCTGAAGATTTGCGACAAGGCCGATTTCCAGTGTGCTTTGACCCAAAGGCGCAATAGCCTTTATGGATGAAATACCAGCATCAATTGCTTCATGGTCAGACAGACCCTTGTCGAATCCGTTGTTGATGTCATTAACGCGCTGTACGTGCCCTTCTGTTGAGAACATTCGAAACACTGAGTCCTCAAATTGGAAAACTGAGCTTTTGAAAACGATAGTACAGCCGCGAAGCATAGACAAGAACTCTTGCATCCCATCAGTCATGTAGGAAGACTGCCACGTTAGAGCCATGAGGGTCGCGTATCGAGCATCACCCTCTTCCTTGGTCTGGCATGGGGCACTCAGAGCAGAATTGAGCGACTTGATTGCTTTGACGCGATGCGATATGGCGTCTGAGTTGTAATCAGTGCCATTGCAGAGGCCGAGATGCGAAGCTCCAACACCCAGCATAGCGTGAGCCAGGTAGTCGAACTGGTTTGTCAGCAGATGCCTCGAACCTGCGGAATATTTGCGCTTACGCCATGAGAATACTTTGCGACTTCTTTCCATACCTCTTCGCCTTGGATTGGGAGACCAGGATACGCATGGAGGAGAAAGTGGTGAAAGAAGCGCAAGTCAACCATAGAAAATTGCGCTTGAGATATTGCCTGCGCAGGTTGGGGTGAAAATAAGGTTATCAGCGCCTTATCCGAAGTCTGAGGATATTCGCATCTAAGGCCAAGACGATTGCAGTTATCACAAGACGGTGTTGTTTCCTGGCATTTAACGCGACGACGCTTACAATTGAAGCATCCCCGCCTTGACTTGGTGTGACCCTTGCGAGGAATTGGTCTGCGGCGAGGACGGCCAGATGTTAGCGACGAGGGGGAGGATGAAGAGGTAGATGTCGATACATCAGCAACGCCTCCAGAGGACAGTTGCTTGAGCGATGGGCTCTCTGGAGGCTGCCTGTTGTCAATAGCCTGCGAGCAGCAGTCATCAAGGTGCGAGATCCGGGGTTCCGAGGGCGATAGAGAATTATCCATTACGGACAGGAAGCGATGAAAACGAGCATATGTTGGCATATAGCAGAGAGATGTATGATAATCTCAGGTGTTACTGATGGCTGAGGCTGAGGCTGGGTTGCATCGCAAAGGGGCGAAATTGGGTGTAAGCACGGGTTGATATAGGCCGATTGGTCATAATTATAGTTAACTTGGCATTCCTGAAGAGGCCAGTGCTAGATTAACTCTAATAAGCTAATGAAAATTGCTAGTCATCTATTAAAGCTTTTAACTCTATGGAGTAAACTAAATTAATTAGGTAAAGATGCTACGCCTCAGCTGAGCACGGTCGGGTTGCAAATCGTTAAGTCCATTTGCAGCTTGAATATAGGATACGATATACTGGCAGTAGGTAGGTCAATCCAAGCACTGAGCAAATTATGCAGACCCTCAAGACAGAGTCTCCCTCCGCCCATGTTTATGCAATTCAAGTTGACGCATCCATTGCCTTTACATTCAGTCGTGTTCAGGAAACGTGATGCTCTCTTCAACAACACAAATGATAAAGCTTTCCAAGAAAACATCCGCAATGGCGAGCGAGAGGTGAACAAAAGGTGTTCCATTGGGCTTGGAAAGTTGTTAGCAAGAGAAACGTGGAACAAAGCAGAGACAAAGGTATCTTCATGCCTTTGGTTTTGGGCGGGTTGATTCCCTTGCGGCTCAGAAGCCATAGGCGCCGCATTAGGTGTCGAAGCCTTATTTTAAAAATCCTTTGATGTGCTGTCTGTAATCTGCTCCAATAAATAGAGCTATCTGAACTTGCCACCTCTTCATTACATTTAGAGAGTGATCTGAATATTAAGTGGCCTTGTTTCTAAGCGAACTGTTCAGGGTAGGTTGCTAAGTATTCATCTTTGGTAACATGTGACAACATCATTTGAGTTGCTCTTGTAAACATCCCTGAAATAGGTAATAGAACCAAGGGGCTTGCCGTCTACACAAATTAATGCGATGCACAGGGTTATACCCATAGGCAATTCTGAGGAATTTATCAACAGCACAGCAGAGGTTCATTATGAGACCATGAACTGCGCCATGCCGAGGATAAAGTAAAGCTTCTCTCGTTCTCGCTTCTGCTCTCGCTTATATCCCCTGCAATGAAGAGGGAACCAATTTTAGTCAGCGACGCGGTCAAAAGTGGCGGTAAGTCAACGTCCGTGTCAACTCCTTTACTCAATTTTCACAACTGAGTACTCACAAAAGCTCAACCCATCAAGCCTTCAAAAGATGGGCGATATACCATACGATGTAGGAATATCCCATTCCGCTCATAGTTCAAAGCTAATCTTACATATCTCCAGTACCGATGGAAAGGTTTGATGACACTTAATTACCGTGCGATTAGTGTTTACTAACCGACATCAGTGGTTCTCCTAGGTGACTCGAATGTTGGAAAGTCAAATATCGCGAGTCAATTCATGCAAGGCGAATTCCAGCAGGACTCTAGCCCAACAATTGGCGTGAAGCCTACCACGAAAATCGTGCAATGCAACTCCAAGGCCGTCAAAGTCAATATCTGGGACACCGCTGGCCTGGAGAAATATCGGGCGCCGATACCATATTACAATGACGCCGTGGCTGTAATGTTAGTCTACGACATTACCAAGCGCCAGAGTTTTGAGAATGCAGCACGCTGGTTGGACGAGGCTCGAAGGCATGGTGAACCTGGGATTGTTTTTATGCTCGTGGGGAATAAAACAGACTTGGAGCGCAGAAGGTCTGTGACGACGGAGGAGGGGAAGAAGTTTGCGAGTAAGTTGGCCTCTCCTTGCTAACATGTTCGAGGGTACTAATCAGGGGCAGAACTTAACAAACTCATGTTTATTGAGACATCTGCTTGCGAAAACAGTCAAGTTGAACTTGCTTTTCAGACTATTTTAAACGGTATGTCTGATTTCTGTCTATATGCTTGATGAAGACGGCTGCTGATCACGTTATTTTTACTAGGCGTCTACAAGAAGCATTGTCAGGAGAAATGATGGTCTAAATGATACAATAAGGTTAGGTCTCGGCTTCTCATTCGTTTATACTCTTTGCTATGGTAATATCGACTACATATCGCCCGATGTATTGGGGACATTTGCGCCATAACGGTTCTAACATTGAAGTGAAATTGCCCTCCATACATCACGGCAATTATCTCTCATTTGCATCACGATAGTATCCCTCCCAACAGATACTTCTACATGAGACATCTTACTCTGTGACAAAAGAATCTTCACTCCATCCATAAGCCCGATTCAAGCGTCTCGCCAAAATCAAGATCAAATGACCCTCGATCTGCGACTGATGCGGTCGGTGAATGCTAACAGGCCTCTTGATATCCATGTTCTCGGAGGGTCTGAACATGTAAACTGATCCAAATCGTGGTAGGACCGAGAATCCCAGCTCAGACATGGCCGCCTCGAAAGACGACCAGTTAACAGATCCTCGTGATCGAGTCTTGTTGAAGAGGGTCGCAAAGACCTCGGCTGTTGATGAGCTGACCTTGACTCGCTGGACCGGCTTTGTAGCCTCCTTGTGTTCAGCAGAGTCTGTGGTTGGGGTGATCGCGTAGACAGAGGAGTGTTCTGGGCGAGTCTTTTCTTTCTGTCTTCGAGTCTCGATTCTCTCCTTTGCGTCTACTGGAGTGGTGTCGATGGGGACGAAATCCGCCTTGCTATCCTTGCTTGACTTATCCTTGGCCTGTTGGTACTGTTCTTCGATATTCCGGAATGCCTTGTCCAGTTCATCTTGGTACAGAGAGCCCATCTGGGTGCCGGTTTTGTCGATGACGAACTGATCAAGAGCTTCCAGTGCTCTATCAGACACGCCAGGTTCAAGAAGATTGTCGATTGGGGCAGCATAGTCGCGCAGATCAACTTCTTTCTTGATCTGATCAAGCTCAGCATCAACGTCTTGCAGCCCAGCAACTAGCACAGTACACTTCTTGCGCGATGATGAGGGAAGCGAATACACAGCGGAAAGATCCTGGACGAAGGCGATGATTGCAGCCATATCATAAAGTGTACGAGACTCCCTGTCCTGGAGCCTTTCTCGTTCCAAGGGATGGGCCCTGTAGAGGTCACTGAGCTTTTGCATCCACTCCACGGCTTTCGTGACGGTTGTTTCCGGTTGACAGAGTCGCAATAAGTAGTGTAGCTGAGGATCAGAGCGCGTAAGTTCCTCCGGCTTGCCCTTCATCGAGACTTTGGCATTGCCTACTTTATCGTACACGTTAGACAGTCGTTTGAACCACTTCGATCCAGATCCTGTCGAGACTCGGCGCTTATACAGGGCCTGAGTGCGGGCGTACTCGAAATGGCACAAATTAGAGAGTTCTTGGAGGATCGTCGACTTGTACAGCTTATCGCTGGATGGCTTCTCGAGGAGGTCAAGCAGGCTAGTGATGGATTCCCAGATAGCGATTCCTTGAATCGCGTTGTGAACTGTTTCAAAGACTGCAGGCCCAACATATTTGTCTGTGTGAACTGGTAGCGATCGGCCTTTCTCGTCAGGCACAAGCTCAGGGCGAGTGAAGAACTGCACGTTGACGCCGGCGCAAAGAACGGTGGGCTCTGTGCGAAGAAGCGACAGGTATTCTTCAAGAGACGATTTCTGGTCGGATGCAATGGCGGAAAGCTCTTTGAGGTTGAGTTTGACGCTTGCCTGCTTGCCGATAGAGTCGGATAGGGGAGCGGTTGGCGGCTTGGAATTCTTGGCTAGCTGGCTTCGATCTCGGGTTTCGGAACCTTGGTCCAGAATATCCTCAATCATGATGTTGAGCGCCTGCAGTAGGTAGAGTTGCCGCTGAAGAATGAGCTCCCCCAACGACTGTGGGATGATGTATCGTTGCTGAATGGCTGACTCCATCCCTGATAAAGCTTCTTTGACGTTCTGGCCCGCGGGAACACGGAAAGAGAATCCGTACTCGCTCTCATCGAAGAGAGTAAAGCAGTTCTTGAATTCATTCACATGGCGCAAGTTTCGGGTTCGTGCCATCTCATCGATAAGATCGAGATCTCCAGCAGTTCCGTTGTGACCACTGCGGTACTGCTCACTCAGGGATTTCGTAGCACGGTGCTTGAGGATATCGAGGAATAAGGCCGAGTTCGGGTCTGTAATGTCCTTCAGATTCCACTCGGGAATAAACTTGCAGACGTTGCCTAGCGACGCATCTCGGGAATGCTTCAGGACTTGTCCATCCACTGCTCCAGCCTTCATGCATTTGGCGCGCTGCGCTTTGTTGAATGATCGCCATGCAGTATCGACTTTGGGACCGTGAGCTTTCCATTTGCGCTGTAGGTCGCCATGGAGCTCGCGGATCGTTTCGGAGGAGTTGGGTTCCATTTTGGCTGGTCTTGGCGATCTCGATGTGCTGCAGATACAGATACAGATCCAAATGCATGGAAATGCCGGCGAAGCAGAATTTGGAGGCAAACGGTGGGGGCTTGAGAAAGCATGCGCTGCGCCACTTTAAGGCTGGATGAGGATTGTGGCTCGTGCGCTATCAAATGAAGATGGAGGTGCGACTTTCAATGATCTTAAGATGGAAGAAAAACTCCGGATAGTAAAATTGTGTTTGGAATGAGAGGCAACATCTTCCAAAGGTGTTGGTCAAGAACATCTCGAGGCTCCGCGGAAGATGAGGTGAATCGCCCATTCAAGTCATGTTCAACCAGTAAAAAGTAAATTTTGAGCCTCGATAGTCAATACGCATTACAAGGACCCTCACCCAAGCCCGGAGGGTATATATCTGATAGAAAGTCCTTGACTCAACTGATCATGGATCAGAACAACTGCACTTCCCCTCGACATATAGGATATGCGTTTCCTTCTCACCCTCGACAGCTTCCTACATCCTTACTACTCGCGAAGTATAAATGGAATCGAGTACCATAATAAGAATCGCCCCCGTTCTGGCCAGTAACTAATTAAATCCAACAATCCTCTCATCTGTATACCGTTTTATTTAGCAGCTAATTAACACGGAATCAAATCCTACAAAAACACCATGGAGCCACCTTGTAAAGACTGAAAGGATGAGATATCCATATTTGCCGCTCTGCTCTCGTTGGTGGCAAAGTAGTTATACAACGCCGCCCAAATGATTTCGCAAGATGATTTATCAGCCTGTATGTTGGCAATCGAATCTCACCAAATCAGAGAGGGCAGTGCTTACTCTGGAACCCTGCTAGCGCATCTCATAGGGCTAAATCTGTAGGCCTCAGGGGTGCTAAAAATCAGCCTTAAATGAGATTACCTCGACTTTTTCATTCTCTCCTCTCTCTTCTTCATCCTTCGTCACAATGGTTGAACGAAAGTTCCAGATCATAGATAAATATGATTTCAACAGAACATACCACGGCATCGCGATATCCGAACAGTGGCAAGCCTGGGAGACGGCGCACTTCTTCCGTGTCAGGTCCATCATCGAGAACCCGACCGTAGGCGCGCGGCTAATTTCCTATGGCTGCAATAACGGTGATGCAAACTCACTCAACTGTACGACAACATGCTCCAACGCAACACTCATGTATAGCGCGCCTGAGAATTTGTGGAACTGTATGTCGCTCGCGACGTTGGGGATGCTAGTTGGACCTGGGAATGATACGATTGACCGCGAAAGTGAGAAGGAAATGGATGATAAGTTTCATTTTGGAACTGTTGAGAAGTTCAATACTTTGGATGTCTTTCGGAAGGTCAGGGACTGCGCTTGGGCTTCTTGCTCTGACTCTACGTACGGCAGCTGCACGAGTAGTCTTCAAGGGTTCAAGTGCGGACCTATTTCACCGGATAATATCGCCAAGTTTGGTAGAGTCATGGCAAAGCCCTACTGTCAGGCTGCAAGCGCTGGTATAGACTTGGACATTGCTGGACAAGGTGTACGTTTGTTATCCCCTATTCTTATGTGAGACTCTAACTAACTCTTGTAGATCGTCACGGCGTATGTCATCCAGCTAGTGCTCGTCCTGTTCCTCGGTTTCAGCTTTAAGTTGACAACGTCATGGATCCGAACTTCTGGCCGCATGAGTAGCTCATTCCAGAAAGACTCTGTATTTCGACAAACATGCCATAGGTGGCAGAGAACACTGTCCGAAACACGCTTCGCAAAAGCTTCATCCTCCGCTATGCTCGACCTTCAAGAGTCGCAAGCTCTATTCGCTGCGACCATCTCTATCACGGCCATCATCACGTTCGACGGCGGAAATAGAGCCGGTCTAGCCAACATGCTTACACTCTTCTCCTGGATGTTCAACCATCGGATCTTGCAAGGACTCATCACAGCTGGTATGTACCCAGTTCTGATCGCGCAGCTCGTCATGCACCGAGCTGGAGAGCGTCGGTTCTATACTCTCTTCTTCGTTGTCTTGTCTTGGATACTCATGACTGTGATCACCGAGTTTCAAGACTTCAATGCCGATGCATTTCAAGAGCACTTGAAGCAGGTTTCGACCGTGGATGCTTGCGGAGGCAATCCTGGTCCGATGAGCTTCTGCCAGGGAATCAAGGAAAAGAACAGCTACGACTTTTTCAACGTTACTCTTGCATGTCGTTTTACAGTTCATATCATAGTATCATGCCTCATCATCGACTGGATGGTGCATTTTACTAAGACGCGAATGGCTGGAGATAAGATAAAGTATACGCCGATTGGCGGAGACTCTAGGACGATCTTCTCGTTCGCAGAGACCAAAGGCGCCAAACTCTCGCGGGGAATCTTCTGGGCCGCGATAGAAATCCTCACGGTTATCATGATATTCATTGGTCTGCACGAGATGGTCCAACTTCTTGACATGCACTCATCTTATGGTGGCCTGTCGACATGGGGATTTGGGCAACTCGTCGCTGTGGCTATATGGTTCCCAGTGATGATCAAGTTTATCTGCCTCAGCATATGTAAGTCATATAACGAACGATACCCTGGATATTTGCTAACCTTTGTAGTTGGACCTAGAAGAGAGGTCAAACCCAAGGCTAATGCAGACAGGCCACAGGTCTTGGAGATGACCGGTTACTCACATAACAAAGTGGACAACACACCATCCAGTGCTTCTTAAACGCTTGTAACATGTATGTCTCAACATGTTGCATAGGGTGCTTCATGCATGGGCAGTGAATTCCTTTCGAAGACCGTGGCGGAGGCTTCATGAATCTGATCAACAGGACATTGGGGAACGGCCGAACAGAGCATACATTCACAAATCAGTCGGAGAGTTATATGGAATAGAATCCTTTTTTGTATATTGAAGTGAAAGTAAAACCGTGGATGCTGAGTGATTTATCATCTCGCTCTCAGACCCGGTATCATAATGCGAAAAGGACTAGGGCATAAGATAATCCTAGTCAAATAACCCAGCCTAGCAATCGTATACTCATTTTCCAATGCATTGAATTTTGTTTTTGGTTTGATGCAATTATTGACTCTGAACAGTTACAGCCTTGGCGATCTGTGTCTGGATACCATTCGCCTTCTCCTTCAGGTCACTAAGGATACCCTTGTCCTGATGACCGTTGGTCTTGGAAGAACTGACGACATAGTCATCGTCACTGCTGGAGTCTTGCTGAAGACCGTCAACACCCTCGGGACCAGAGGCATGAAGCTTAGCGTTCTCGACGCCATTGAGGGGAATGTTCTGAGCGTTGCCGTTCTCAACAGGGGCACCGTTCATGGTGTATCCAGTGTCGCTAGAGTCAACGAAAGCTTCAAGACCAGCGCCCTGGCGAGGGTATGACTTCATAATCTTTTTGTGCTCCTCGAGGGCAGCGACCATCTCATCGTGGCTGACGTCGTTCAAGAAGACACAGTCACCCATTGGGTTGATGGGAACAGCAGCGCGAAGCTTGCCGTCACGGGTCTTGAGAATTGCGGCTGTAGCCTTCTCGAGAAGAGAGGCATCGAACTGAGGATGGTCCATTGAGAGACCAGCCCGGGAGAAGAGGTTCAAAAGACGCGTGTGTTCCTCTGATGAGAGAAGACCGCGGATGTGAGCGAGGGTGGCAGAGTAAGCCATGTCGATGGAGATAGCATGACCATGACGAAGAGGAGTCTCAGGTACAAGCTCATGAAGAGGAGACCAAGTATGGCCATAGGCAATAACACGATCAAGCATAATCTCATGCAAGTTGGGTGTCTCAAGCTTCAGCATCTCATGGATACCAGCACGGCAGATCTTATCAGCAACCTCCTTAATCTCAGGAGTAGCATCATCAGATCGTCCAAAGCCAGTGTTGATCAGCTGCTCACAGTACTTCTCAAGAAGATCATAAGTATCCTTGTGAGCACAAGTAGAGATCTTGATCAACTCTGCGAAACCATTGCGGATCTGTGCTACGGGGAGACTGCGGAGGAAAGTGAAGTCAAGGAATGTGTGAGAAGGGGCGTGGTAGGCGCCAAGGCGGTTCTTGTAGCGGCCGTAGTTGACGGCGACTTTGATGGAGACTGAGGCATCGATGAGACCGATGACTGTGGTAGGGATGCGGATGTAGTTGGTGTTGCGACGATACGCAGCACAAGCAAAGCTGTAACTGTCAGTTGAGTTATTAATAAAGATGGCTAGGACTTACCCAGCAACGTCAGTGACAAGACCACCACCAACAACAAGAACAGGCTCCTTTCGGTAGATACCAAAATCGGTCATAGAATCAACAATCGACAACAGAGTGTCCATGCTCTTGGCCTTCTCACCAATCATGGTCTTATGAATAGTGAGAGGAATGCCATAGTGATCAAAGTACCTCTGCATCTCATTCCCATAGAGGTTAAAGATGTTAAGGTCCATCACAGCCAGACATCGTCCCCAAGGGGAGTAGAGCTGGTAGAGCTGAGGATTGGCAGTGTTGAAAACACCATCGAGAAACTCAAAGTCATACTCGATCTTCTCGTAACCACAGACAGCGAACCCCTTGGCAGTGGGCTCGACGGTAGCACTCATATCAGACATGGTGGGTGGTGTTTTGGGGTAGTACAATAGGGATGGAAGGGTGTAGAGGATGTGTGTAGCTTGGTCTTCAGGGCATTGATGGTGATGGGAAGAGCTTTTTATGTGTGAGTACCACCCTCCTCTGAGGGATATTCAACTGCCGACAAGCTCACAAGCTAGGGTTCTTTTCACGAGAGCAAGTTAACACTACATGAGTCGTCGGTAAACGAGTGGTTGGGGGAGAAGTACAGAGACATGAGGACCGTTTTCATTGGGTAGGTGGTTTGAGGCCCGAGACTCGGCTACAGATGCATGTTTGCAGGCGGATGCATGTATCTAATGTTGGTGTCATGATGGTCAAGTTACGATGGGTCAGAAGCATTAGTTCCCACGCTTCTGTAAGAGTGCATACAACATAGCCCGTGA